GGAGAAAATGCATTTGCCTCCTCTCACTCTCTGCATGATATTTGTGATATCCTTTTCTTTCTGTTCCAATCACAAGCACACAAATGGCTGTGATCAATGACTGGGCGAGAGAAAATAGGGAAAGCAGACCATTTAAACTATCTCTATGCAGATGACACGCAACTCTATTACTCTTTTCCACCAGATTCCAAGGACCAGTACCTGACAGCTGTGATGGGCTGGGTCCTGGACCAGTACCTGACAGCTGTGATGGGCTGGGTCCTGAACCAGTACCTGACAGCTGTGATGGGCTGGGTCCTGGACCAGTACCTGACAGCTGTGATGGGCTGGGTCCTGGACCAGTACCTGAGAGCTGTGATGGGCTGGGTCCTGGACCAGTGCCTGACAGCTGTGATGGGCTGGATGAAGACTAACAAGGTGAAGCTTAATCCTGACAAAACAGAGGTCCTCCTGGCCAGTCGTGGGACATATCGGAGCATAGGGTGGCTATGTGTGCTCGATGGGGTCGCATTCCCTCTGAGGACACAGGTCTGCAGGTTGGGGATCCTTCTGGACTCTGCTTCGACACTAGATGCTCAGGTATCAGCGGTAGCTGGGAGGGCCTTTGCACAGTTAAAGCTCGTGCACCAGCTGCGTCCGTACCTCGTGAAATCTGATCTGGGCATGGTGGTCCATGCAATGCGCTCTACATAGGGTTGCCTGGAAACTACAGTTGGCCCAGAGATCTGCAGCCAGACTACTCACGGGAGCTGGTTACAGAGAGCGGTCAACCCTCCCGTTTAAACAGCTCCACTGGCTTCCAATAAGGTTCCGGTCCCAATTCAAGATGCAGGTCATCATCTATAAAGCCCTAAATGGTTTGGGACCTGCTTATCTTCGCGATCGCATCTTCCCCTATGAACCAGTGCGTACCTTGAGATCTTCTGGGGAGGCACTGCTCCCCCCCCCCCCCCGCTGTCGCATGCACGATTGATGGGGACGAGGGAGAGAGCCTTCTCGGTGGTGGCCCCCCGCTCTGGAACTCCCTCCCTAGGGAGATCAGACAGGCTCCCACCTTGTCCTCCTTTTGTAATCAACTAAAAACCTGGATGTTCTGGTGCACTTTTGACTAAGCAACTCACCAGAAACTTTCTTGTCCCTACTTGAAGTTCTGCACTTTACACCGGCCTGCATTTTACACTGGCATACGTTTTACCTCAACATGTGTTATGACAGTATTTCCTGCCCAGTTTACTGTATTGTTGCACTTTCCTGCACTCCTGTAAAAATGTATTCGACTCATTGAATCTGTACCTCAGCTGTGTTTCTTTCAGCCGTATTGTTTTTATATTGCTTTCAATTGTGTTGTTATTTGTTTTATCTATGTTTTAATTGGTTAAAGTGTTTTTTATTTATCGTGTCATCTGCAACCAGAACATTGTATTACATTTCTAACAGAGCAAAACACAGATTAAAAAAAAACCACACAGATTTTGCAAACTTGGTAGTTGGTTAAATGTCCTTTGACCAGTATCTGGCCACTTGGAGTGCCTCTGGTGGTGCTGCAAGAAGGTCCTCCATTGTGCATGTGGCAGGGCTCAGGTTGCATTGCAGCAGGTGGTCAGTGGTTTGTTCTTCTCCGCACTCGCATGCCGAGGATTCCACCCTGTAGCCCCATTTCTTAAGATTGGCGCTGCATCTCGTGGTGCCAGAGCGCAGTCTGTTCAGCGCCTTCCAAGTCGCCCAGTCTTCTGTGTGCCCAGGGGGGAGTCTCTCATCTGGTATCACCCATGGATTGAGGTGCTGGGTTTGAGCCTGCCACTTTTGAACTCTCGCTTGCTGAGGTGTTCCAGCGAGTGTCTCTGTAAATCTAAGAAAACTATTTCTTAATTTAAGTCTTGGGCGTGTCCCTTGTAAGCCACCCCGAGTCCCCTAGGGGAGATGGTTGGCGGGGTATAAAAATAAAGTTATTATTATTATTATTATTATTATTATTATTATTGTATCTTTTAACATTCATCATTTGGAGGTAAGGCTGGTGGAAATAACGTTTCACAACTTTGGCAACTTTGATCGGCGAGGTTTCCCTTTTCTAACATATAACCGTTTGACTCACATATACAACATATCACACATGGTTTATTCGGCTTATACTTTTGTTATGGGATTTCAGCTTCCATAAGAACCTCAGGTTCGGAGCCTAATGTATCAAGCCTTCAGGAAGCCAGATGAGGCACAGATGAGATGAAGGCAAAAACAGAGGTTTTATTCTCAATGGCAAAAGAGAATGTCAGCTGAGATGGTGCATGTGACATCTGTAGACAGTCCACGTCTCGCAGGCATATAGCAGGGTTGGGAGGACAATAGCTTTATAAACAAGCACTTTGATATCCCTACGGATGTCCCCATCCTCAAACACTCTGCTTCATTTGGAAAAATGCTGCACTCGGAAAGCTCAGGCAGTGTTGTATTCCAGTGTCAATGTTGACTTTGGTGGTGCCAAGGTAGCAGAAATAGTCAACATTTTCTAATGTTACACCATTAAGCTGTATCTCTAGCACTGAGTAAGTAAGACAGGCTAGGGCTGATGTTCTTACTAATTTTGGGTCTGCACCCCAACTATATATTAAATACTAGCCGTCCCCAGCAAAACACATTGCTGTGGCCCAGTCTGTGTATATGTGTTTTGTGTGTGTATATATGTGTTTGCATATATTTGTGTATATATGTTTGTGTGTGTATGTATATATTTGTGTATTTCTGTATGTATGTGTGTGCTTACTTACTTACTACTTACTTAGGCGATCCCTCGTTGGACGAGTAAGATGGTCTTCCATTATGGATTTCCTTGTGGGTCCGTATGTGGCTGTGGAGCCCTATTCTTGCTCTGCATCTTCTTCCGCAGTGAGGGCATTGGTTTCCAGGTGGAAGGCAGTCCCGGTCAGGGTTGGCTTGACGCGCCTTCCTCCTGGCACGTTTCTCTCTTTCACCCTCCACTGTGCCTCCTCGAATTCTGCAGCACTGCTGGTCACAGCTGTCCTCCAGCTGGAGCGCTCAAGGGCCAGGGCTTCCCAGTTCTCAGTGTCTATGCCAGAGTTTTTAAGGTTGGCTTTGAGCCCATCTTTAAATCTCTTTTCCTGTCCACCAACGTTCCGTTTTCCATTCTTAAGTTCGGAGTAGAGCAACTGCTTTGGGAGACGGTGGTCAGGCATCTGGACAACGTGGCCAGCACAGCGGAGTTGATGTTGGAGGACCATCGCTTCAATGCTGGTGGTCTTTGCTTCTTCCAGCACACTGACGTTTGTCCGCTTGTCTTCCCAAGAGATTTGCAGGATTTTCCGGAGGCAGCGCTGATGGAATCGTTCCAGGTGTTGCATGTGACGTCTGTAGACAGTCCACGTCTCACAGGCATATAGCAGGGTTGGGAGGACAATAGCTTTATAAACAAGCACCTTGGTATCCCTACGGATGTCCCGGTCCTCAAACACTCTCTGCTTCATTCTGGAAAAATGCTGCACTTGCAGAGCTCAGGCGGTGTTGTATTTCGGCGTCGATGTTGACTTTGGTGGAGAGGTGGCTGCCAAGGTAGCGGAAATGATCAACATTTTCTAATGTTACACCATTAAGCTGTATCACTGGCATTGGCGAGGGGTTGGCTGGTGTCTGCTGGAAAAGCACCTTGGTTTTTTCAATGTTCAATGACAGGCCGAGCTTCTCGTATGCTTCTGCGAAGGTGTTTAGAGTGGCTTGTAGATCTTCTTCTGAATGCGCACAGATGACATTGTCATCAGCATACTGGAGTTCTATAACAGATGTTGTTGTAACCTTGGTTTTGGCTTTCAGTCTGCTGAGGTTGAATAGCTTGCCATCTGTCCGATAGATTATTTCCACTCCAGTGGGAAGCTTCCCATCAACAAGGTGTGGGTGTGCATGTGTATATGTATATGTGTGTGTGTTTGTGCGTATATGTGTGTGTGTGTTTGAATGTGTGCATGTGTATATGAGTGTATGTTTATATGTATATGTATATATATGGTGTATTTTGGGGTTTTTAAAGTCTGTTTCACTGGGGTTTTGTGTGTGTGTGTGTGTTTGTTTAGTGGTGATAGACACTTGTTGGACTGTTAGGTGTATTGTGTCCAAATTCGTGTCAATTCGTCCAGTGGTTTTTGAGTTATGTTAATCACACAAACGAACATTACATTTTTATTTATATAGAAGATATCCCAGTTCAAAGCAGAAAATGTGGGATTTTATTCAGCTGTGTGGAAGGGGCCTCAGATAATCCTGTACAAGGAGATATTGTGGATGATTTGCTTTGATATCCTGGGTTCTGTGGCTGTGTGGAAGGGGCAGAGGGCCCTTCCACACAGCTATATAACCCAAAATATCAGTATCTGCTTTGAACTGGGTTATCTGAGTCCACAATGCCATATAAACCAATTCCAAGCAGATATTGTGGAAGATCTGCTTTGATATCCTGGGTTCTGTGGCTGTGTGGAAGGGTGCAGAGGGCCCTTCCACACAGCCATATAACTCAGAATATCAGTATCTGCTTTGAACTGGGTTATCTGAGTCCACAATGCCATATAACCCAGTTCCAAGCAGATATTGTGGATTTTTTTTTTGTTGTGTCAGGAGCTCCTGTTGTGAGAAAATTGGCCGTCTGCAAGGACGTTGTCCAGGGGATGCCAGGATGATTTGATGTTTTATCATCCTTGTGGAAGGCTTCTCTCATGTCCCCGCATGAGCTGTTAGAGGGAGCTCATCCGCCTCTCCCTGGATTCGAACCTGGGACCTGTCGGTCTTCAGTCCTGCAGGCTGATCTGCCTTGAAATCCTGGGTTCTGTGGCTGTGTGGAAGGGCGCAGGGAGAGGAGAGCCCTGCCGAGGCTCCTCAAGCAGTTCGAAGGCCTTCTGCTGGGCCGCCGCCGCCGCCTCGCGCAGCCCTCGCGCGCCCCCTGGCGGGCCCCCCTTGCGCGCGCAGTCCTGCCCACGTGACCCTCCCAAGGCCTGCCGCCGCTTCCCCGAGTCTGAGGCGAAGAAGAAGAAACAAGATGGCGGCCGGCGGCGGTCCGGAGCGGGGCGCCGGCGCTAGAGACTGAGCCCTTCCCCGGGCCGGGCCTCCGAGCTCCCTGCCGGGCCTCCGGCTCTCGTCCCCCAGCGCGGGGAGGAGGCGCTCCCGGAACGCCCGCCGCCCTTCCCGAGCGGCCTCCCGAGCGGCCTCGCAGTCTCCCTCAGCCTGCCAGCCAGCGCCCAGCGATGCGGGGACGGCGAGGCAGGCCGCCTAAGCACCCGCAGCCGGCGGCTTCCAGAAGCGGGGCCTCGGCTGCCGCTGCGGCTGCTTCCCCCACGGGGCCCACCGGGGGGCTGAGGTCGCGCCTGCGGGGCAGCAGCCGGGGCAGGTGGGCGGCCAAGGCCCAGGCGGGCAAGGCGGCCGGGCCCAGGCCGAGAGGGGCGGCGGCGGCAGCAGCAGCATCAGCGGGGGGCTCTCCTCCCACCCGAGGGGGCGGCCGGAGGAAAGGCGGTGGAGGGAGCAGCACCCCTGGCGGGGGAGGCAGTAGTGGCCGGGGAAGGGGCAGGGCGGCCGCAGGAGGAGGAGGCGGAGGCAAGAGCCGCCACAGCAGTAGTCAGGGCAGGGCCTCCTCTTCCCGGAGGAGCAGCAAAGTCGTGTACGACGACCATGAGAGCGAGGAGGAGGACGACGAGGAAGAAGAAGAAGAAGAGAGCGCGTTATCCGAGGAGGAGGAGGAAGAGGGAGCCGACTCGGAGGGGAAGCCCGGCTCGGATGAAGAGGAGGCCATGGAGGGCGAGGAGGAGGACGAGGAGGTGGTGGTGGTGGAAAACGAGGAGGAGGACGGCGGCGTCGGTGCAGGAGGCATCCCTTCGGACTGCCCCGAGGAGATGGAGGAGGACGACGACGACGATGGCAGCTACTGCACCGAAAGCAGCTTCAGGAGCCACAGCACCTACAGCAGCACCCCAGGTAGAATCATAGAGTTGGGAGAGAGAGAGAGAGACCACATGGGCCATCTAGTCCAGCTCCATGCACAATCAAAACACCCCCGGCAGATGGCCATCCAGCCTCTATTTCAGTGTTTCCCAACCTATAGGTCCCTAGGTGTTTTGGCCTACAACTCCCAGAAATTTATTTTATTTACAGCATTTATATTCCGCCCTTCTCACCCCACAGGGATGGAGCCCCCAGTGGCGCAGTGGGTTAAACCCCTGTGCCGGCAGGACTGAAGACCAACAGGTCACAGGTTCGAATCCGGGGAGAGGTGGATGAGCTCCCTCTATCAGCTCCAGCTCCTCATGCGGGGACATGAGAGAAGCCTCCCACAAGGATGATAAAAAAACATCAAATCATCCAGGCGTCCCCTGGGCAACGTCCTTGCAGACGGCCAATTCTCTCACACCAGAAGCGACTTGCAGTTTCTCAAGTTGCTCCTGACACGATAACCCCCCCCCCCCCACAGGGGACTCAGAGACTCATATATAGCAAACATTCAATGCCAATTTTGGCATACGACGTATACAGACATATACATAAATTCCAGCACCCCAGGTAGAATCATAGAGTTGGAAGAGAGAGAGAGACCACATGGGCCATCTAGTCCAGCTCCATGCACAATCAAGACACCCCCGGCAGATGGCCATCCAGCCTCTATTTCAGTATTTCCCAACCTATAGGTCCCTAGGTGTTTTGGCCTACAACTCCCAGAAATTTATTTTATTTAAAGCATTTATATTCCGCCCTTCTCACCTCGCAGGGGACTCAGGGCGGATTACAATGAACACATACATATATGGCAAACATTCAATGCCAATTTTGACATACAACATATACAGACATACACATAAACAGACATATACATAAATTCCAGCACCCCAGGTAGATTCAGAGTTGGAAGGGAGAGACCACATGGGCCATCTAGTCCAGCTCCATGCACAATCAAAACACCCCTGCAGATGGCCATCCAGCCTCTATTTCAGTGTTTCCCAACCTATAGGTCCCTAGGTGTTTTGGCCTACAACTCCCATAAATTTATTTTATTTACAGCATTTATATTCTGCCCTTTTCACCCCGCAGGGGACTCGGGGCGGATTACAATGAACACATATATGGCAAATATTCAATGCCAATTTTGACATACAACATATATAGACATACACATATACAGACATATACATAAATTCCAGCCAGTTTGCCAACTGTTAGGATTTCTGGGAGTTGAAGGCCAAAAAATCGGGGTACCCACAGGTTTAGAACCTGCTCTATTTAAATGCCTCAAAAGGAGGTGCCTCCACCACACTCTGGCAGTGGTTCTCAACCTGTGGGTCCCCAGATGTTTTGGCCTTCAGCTCCCAGAAATCCTAACAGCAGGTAAACTGGCTGAGATATCTGGTGGTTATAGGCCTTCTCACCCCGCAGGGGACTCAGGGCGGATTACAATGAACTGACTGGGATATCTGGGAGTTGTAAGCCAAAACACTCGGGGACCCACAGGTTGATTTAATTGATAGCTAAATGTTGTTTTCTGTTGGGTTTTCGTATGTATGCGATGAGGTATTAAATTTTGCCATGAATATATTGGAAACCACTTTGAGTCCCCCTGGGGTGAGAAAAGCAGTATACAAATGAAGTAAATAAATAAATAAACCATTGCTCATAGGGAAGGAGTTCTTTCTGGGAGGGCACCCTGAGGGCCATCCAGTCCAAACCCTCTTCAGCCATGCAGGAGTCCTGCACAATCAAAGTATTCCCCACAGAGAGCCATCCAGTCTCTGCTTAAGTCTATTTAAATGCCTCCAAAGGAGGCGCCTCCACCACACTCTGGCAGTGGTTCTCAACCTGTGGGTCCCCCAATGTTTTGGCCTTCAACTCCCAGAAATCCTAACAGCAGGTAAACTGGCTGGGATATCTGGGAGTTGTAGGCCAAAACACCCGGGGACCCACGGGTAGAGAACAGGTTGATTTAATTGGTAGTGAAATGTTGTTTTCTGTTGGGTTTTCATATGTATGTGATGAGGCATTAAATTTTGCCGTGAATATGTTGGAAACCACTTCGAGTCCCCCTGGGGTGAGAAAAGCAGTATACAGATGAAGTAAGTAAATAAATAAATAAACCACTGCTCTGAGGGAAGGAGTTCCTTCTGGGAGGGCTCCCTGAGGGCCATCCAGTCCAAACCCTATTCAGCCATGCAGGAGTCCTGCACAATCAAAGCATTCCCCACAGAGAACCATCCAGTCTCTGCTTAAAAGGTTACCACCTCACTTATGAGGCAGTACACCACTCCTGTGTGTTTTTATTTTTTTTGGGGTAAGGAGAATATGCTATATGTATTGCATATACCAATTTAAAAGATTTTAATGATTTTAAACTGGGTTGCTGTGAGTTTTCTGGGCTGTATGGCCATATTCCAGAAGCATTCTCTCCTGATGTTTTGCCCACATCTATGGCAGGCATCCTCAGGTTGTGAGGTCTGTTGGAAACTAGGCAAGTGGGGTTTATAAATCTCTGAAATGTCCAGGGTGGGAGAAGGAACCCTTGTTTGTTTGAGGCAGATGGGAATGTTGCAATTGGTCAGTTTGATTAGCACTGAATAGCCTTGTAGTTTCAAAGTCTGGCTGCTTTCTGCCCAGGGGAATCCTTTGTTGGGAGGTGTTAACTGGCCCTCATTATTTCATGTCAGGAATTCCCCTGTCTTCTGAGTTTTGTTCTTTATTTACAGTCCTGATTTTAGATATTTTTTAACACATAGCCAGATTTTGTTCATTTTCATTGTTTCCTCCTTTCTGTTGGAATTGTTCATATGCTTGTGGATTTCAGTGGCTTTTCTGTGTAGTCTGTGTTTTTAAACTATTTTAAAGTGGTTCTCGAGTTTCATACTATTTTACGTCTGTAGGTTTTGATGTGTATGTTGTGTTGTTTTAGTGCTATCTGCTACTTTGAGTCTTAAGAGGAAAAATGCCCCATAAGTAGTAATAATAATGATCTCTCCAGGGTAGCCAGAGGGTCACATTGCATGCCAGGTTGGAAGGGGTTTTAATGGGTTTGCAAAGCAGGCAGTTCTGGGGCAGATGTGCATCCTCTGCAAAAGGGTAAACATTAAGTATGGCACAGGTGGAATCTCCCTCATTACCCAAAAAGCTTGGGGCCAGAAGTGTTTGGGATTTCTTTTCTCCTGGATTTTGAAATATTTGCATTTGCATGAAGAGATATCATGGAGATAGGAACCAAGCCTGAACACAAATTTTTGTTTCTTTTACTTCATATAAATCAGTGGTTCCCCACCTTTTTTTGACCAGGGACCACTCTCCAACATTAGTATCAAAAGGGTTACGAATCAGTTTTTGGTCGACTTTAGATTCAATTTGGTTATTTGGGCTGCTGAATCAGAAAATTGCATTGGATAACCACATCAACTCTAGTTTCTGATACATATATGCTATCCATTAGTCGTCATCTGCTAACCCATAGAAAACCATATTTAATAAGCCTTGGCACTATAAGAGGGTTTCACGAGACCAGTTGCTCTCGTTGCAACGTTGTAGTAACAGTGAATCGGTGGTCCATGGACCACAGGTTGGGAACCACTGATATAGATGTAAGGTGACTTTAGGCACATTATTGTAAACATAATTTTGTGCATGAAATTATAGGTGTTCCTATCTTAGCCATCCATGTCATCCATTTGGAATATTTTGTCATTCTGATTAAGAGATGCTCAACCAGTGCAAAAAAAGGTCTTCTGTCACAGATGTGTCTCCAGAAATGTGGCAGAGGTTTTAGAAATTAAAACTTTAAAAATCATGGGGAGTGCTTGATGGTGGGAGGGACTGAGGAAGTCACCAGGAAGTAAGCATTGCCTGGCAAGAAAGATGCCTGTAGCACCAATTTGTAAAAAACAAAACAAAAACAAAAAAGCCCAACAGCAATAAAGGAAGGAAGCATGTGCAGGATGCCTTTGACTTCTGTAGACCAAAAATATTTTAGCAGATACCAGACTGTCGATATGTAGGTTTGTTACTGGAAAGATGAAAGCAGGTGCATTTAGAATGGAAATAAAATTGATAAGTAGTAACGAGTACCAATGATTTGAATATAATGAAACCCATCTGTATTTTTTAATTTTTTATAGACAAAGTTATATCTTTTTACTACGATTGGATAACTTATCCAGTAATTTCAGTTTCAACCAATTTGGTTACACAAAACATTTTTTTTATTTAGTTGCATTGCTCTTTTTAATTTTCTCTGATATTGTAAAACCTCATATTCAGCTTTTTAAAAAGTTATACTAAAACTAGTATATGCTCAACTTTGAATAGTTAGCAGAATGTGCTTTACATCGTAAATAGGTTTTGGGAAAATGTTAGTACATGACATCATGTATGTTTAACTAAAAAGTTGGCAAGAGTGAACCTTTCCAAAATTGTCTTATCTAGATATATATGTTTAGAACACTGCTTCATAAACTATGAGTGCTGAACCCAAATGGAATCAGTGTTAGGATTGTGAAAAATTTGGCAACATTAAAAGGTTTCTGAATGCCACCTAGACATGTACACAAATCTGTTAGCAACAATGTGTAGTGTTTATAGTGGACTTTGCAGAAGATACTTCAGCTGTACTTCATAAAAAGGAAAATCAGCCTGTTTAGGAAGCCTTGCCAAATTCTGATTTGTCATCATCCAGTGTTTGATTCTATACCTATTTTATATATCTATATACCTGGGATCACATAAAAATTTCTTAGTTGAAGAAGGGTTCCGAGTGGGAAAAGTTTTAAGAAGCCCTGCTTTAGAAAATATGTAGGAATGAGGATTGAGATTTACATACTGCAGGGTAAGGTGTCAAAAAGGCAGTTCAGTGCTTAACAATTTGAGGAAAACAAGATATACTAAAATGAAATCTTCCACTTTACTCAATAAATAATACTTTTGTGAAACTTCATGAAAGTAGCTTTAGTGGGTATTAT